AGTTCTCATGATCTCACATCCGCTATATATCCCCCCCTCTCCCCTTTGTCTCTTTCCAGTATTCACCCAACATGACGATGAGTGTGTGATTTCTTCTTATTTTATTGTTTTATTTGGAGTTTTCTTTTTTGATTTGTTCAAACTCCCTCCGACTGCCCCGCTCCTTTTTTTAACCCCGTCCCCTCTTCACGTCGATCAACCCCCCGCACCCTCTACCCACGGAACTCTGGCTTTTTCTGCACAGCCTTCTGGGATGCCCCACGAGCAGAGGACTCACATGAAACTGGCCCATCCCAGCTTGTGCAAAATGGCCACCGGCAACAGGGAACAGTCCCAGAGCCACAGGAAGAGCTTGTTGACTGAATCTCCCTGCCTTCCGGACTTCCTCTCTGGTTCAGGACACTAACGGGGCTGAACACACACAGGAAGGCAGGTGTGTGTATGTGTTTGAGCAGACACACGCATCCCCGGGCTGCTCTCTTTATGAACTCGCTCCACTTTTTTTGATTCATTTTTTAAATCTTGAATGGATGCAGTCGTTTTTACAGTGGAAAATATCTGCACCTTTTTCCTCCATTAAATTGTGTAAGTGCAAGAGGAAGCTCATTATGATGGGTTCGGCAATGAACGTTTTCATTATTCTGTGTATGTATTGTATTATTATTAATTGTTGATTTTATTTTTATTAATATTGTATTGATGGTTATTGATTAGGTTTTAATCTTTTTTTTGAAAGGGGCACATTATATGTAAACCACGAATTCGACAGGAAAAAGCACACATCCATAATGCACAATAACAGTGTCGTGACTTTTGCAGGAAGTCTACACTACGTTTTGTGTTTGCTGTGAAATCTTACCTCCCGCAGATTAAAAAGGTAGCCGTACCTTTTCTTCTACGTCTCTAATATATACAGGACATGTAGTTTCATTGTCCCTGTCAAGTGAACGTCTGAGGCCAAGAGGCGCAAGGCCCAAACCAGCAGCGACTTTAACCTCTCAGACCAGCCTGTGTGTCCGACAACGCGTTTTGGAGTCTCAGTCTATCTGTAGAGAGGAAGTGATGTCATAACAGAGCTGAAAACATGCGGTCAAACAACTAACTAGCGCTGAACTTGACTGCAACACATGACAGATATCTGCTCACCGTGATTCACAACTTATTTATTTGTTGATTTTGTTCAAGAATTGATTTATCGCGCACACGTCTCGCATGCGACCCGTCAGGACATATTGTACACATGTAAATATGCCAGTCTAAGATACCTCCTGAAGATTTGTATCATTCTGTCCCTCGCCGGAGACCCACATGCTTTCCTTCTGCATGAATCTGAACAGGGTGTCTCTAGTCACATGACATTTCAGTACAAATGAGGTTCCTGTTGACTTGGTGCTCATCATACTAGATATTTTTTCAGGCGCGGGAATAGAGCCTTCCTCCTCAAACACATTTTGTGTTAAGTATGTGTTCCATATTATGTCTAATCATCTTCAAAAACATGAGATGTCAGTCACATCCTGAGCTTATGAGATGAGGGGATAATAATAGGACGTCCAGGGACTACTGAATGAGGGATATATGAACTAAATGTGCTCACAGACTGTGTTTCATAATATTGGCATGCATTTTTTTTTCGTTTTGTCTTTTGCATTTGGTATATTCTGTCTGTAGTTTAAAGGGATAATCCACCCCAAAATGAAAATTCTGTCATTATTTACTTATGTCGTTCCAAAACTGTAACTTTCTAACTAAAGACTTTCGATTGTCATTGACTTCCATTGTCATTTTTGTCTATACAATGAAAGTCAATGGGAACTGAAACTTTTTGGTTATTCTTAAAAATTCTTGTTATTCTGTATTTTTTCTGTATTGTTATTCTGTATCTTCAGTCTATCTTGTTAAAGAAGATATTTTGAAGAATGTTAGTAACTAAACTGTTTGGGTTGCCATTGACTTCCATTGTAATTCTTGGCCATAGAGTGTAAGCCAATGGGAACCGAAACTGTTTGGTTACCAACATTTTTCAAAATATCTTCTTTTATTTTCCGCTGAAAGTCACACAGGTTTGGAATGACGTGAGGGTGAGTGATTTTTGGGTGGTCTTATCCCTTGAAACGAAATGTGTTTTTGGAAGTAGGGGTCTCAGTGAAATGGTTATTAGGGGTCAGAAGGAACCGGGAAATATCAGAGCTAAATGCTAAAATCCTCCTGCTGATTACATAAACACACATTAATCACACAGCACCTGTTTTTAAGTTCTCCACAGCTGGATGACATGATGTACACAGAGAAACACACAATTATACAGCATCTCTCTTATTTTTGTTTGTAAATACTGTAAAATGCATTTTGATATCATTGACATGTTTTGATATTTTAGTCACTACCAATGAATACTACGAGATCTTGGGGGTTAAAAAAAAAATGTAAAGGAAGAACCCATGTTTGTAGTCACCATTCTCTGTCATTGACTCTGTACAGATGTACCAAATCATGCAAATGTAAAGTTTTGTCAGCCTCTACTTAGTAAACGGCGTCTTGAGCGCTCATGTTTTGAGAGAATAGGAAAGTAAGGGGTGTTTGAAGCGGTACCGTTCACTCGTCGTAGACTAGACACTCACAGGAGGACGTATGCGGAGGGCGAAAGCCTCACGATGCATCCGGTCTCTCTTGGACGTGTCCTCACTTTGCACTTTCCAGACAGTAGCCCACCTTTTAACACATTGTCTATGTGGACATACATGAACACAGGATTTGTCTCTTTATGTGCAAAAGGGACCACCCATTGCAAACTTTACTATGAAGGATTTTTATCTATTTAAATTAAAAAACAAACAAAAAAAGGTTTAAAAACTCGTTCAGAGTAGGGATTTAAAAGAAATAAAAAGGTCATAAAAAGGAGGGAAGTGTCCTTCCCGTTCTCTTGAGATAGTGTTTTATAGGTTGCGGTTTCTTCTCCTCGGCCAGTACTCTGTATGTAAACCACTCACGTCATTGGCCATCTCTGTAATTCTATTGTGACACTGTACGATACTGTAACATTAGCGAGGAGACGAGGTGCGGATGGGCTTCAGATGCAGGAAAGAAAATAAATCCTCCTCCACTGTTGTTCTTTCTGACAAACGAAAAGCAGTATTGAGTATAAAGCAGTCCGTCTCCTAGGTTTGCTTTGTATTTCATGTTTAGGGTAGTTTGGATCCTTGTCTTAGGGACTCTTTCTGTCTTGTGTAGTAAATTAAGATGCTCTTTGTATGTTTCTTTATATTGTAAAGTTTCTTTTAGATTTAAAAGTTGCTTATTAAAAAAAAAAGGATGGAAAAAGTGCTTCAATAATGTATTTTTTTCTCTCTTTGGTTTTGTTTTTTCATGGAGTTGTTGCTTATTTTTTTGCTTGTCCCTTGTTGTAGATACAAATTTAAGACTAATAAAATAACATAACCCCTTTTACCAAGACTTTCTGCTCTCCCAGCTCTTAATTTATTATTAAAACTATTGACTTTGAAATGTGTGGGTTCTTTTTATGCATCCTGTTCACTTCACCTGCTTTAGTAAAGTACCATTTTTATGATTTTTACGTTTATTAGTCTCTTATGCTCACATTTCATTGCAATTAGTTGATCAAAAATTCATTAAAAATATGAATATTGTGAAATGTTATTAAAATAACTAATAACTCTATATTCGAATGTATTTATTCCTGTGATGGCAAAACTGAGTTTGCAGCATCATTACTGCAGTATTCAGTGTCACATGATCCATCAGAAATCATTTTGATATGCTGATTTTTTTTTATATCAATGTTGAAAACAGTTGTGCTGCTCAATATTTTTGCGGAAATATAGATTTTTTTCATGATTATTTGATGAATAGATAGTTCAAAATAACATTTGTTTGGTAAAGAAATATTTTGTAATAATATGAATGCATGTCTTTGCTGTCAGTTTTGATCAATTTAATGCATCCTTGCTGAATAAAAGTATTAACGTAATTAAAAAACAAACAAATAAAAATGACCCCAAACATTTGAACAGTTGTGTACATCTGTAGTTAATGGGACATTTTTTTTTTTTTTTTGCATAAAATTTTTTATAATGAGTATTTACATGCACATCTCACACTGATTATGCAAATTAACCTGATAATATATGAAGTCATAAATGCCTTGGCTTAAACAATGTTCTTTTCTCAGGAAAAGGTCATAAATCATTTTTAAATTCTGTATTCAGATTCCAATTTACATTTCATAGCATTTTATTATTGAAAAGGTCAGTAAATTAATTTACTTCAAAAGTGTCAGGAAAGACTTTTAACATTGTTACAAATGTAAAAATGTAATTCAAATAAATGCTCTTTTGCTCATGTTTCCACAAAAGTATTCATGTTTTCCACAAAAATATTACACAGCAAAGCCGTTTTCAACATAATAAAATTAATGTTCCTTTAGCAGCAAATCAGCTTCGCATCACATGAATACATTTTCAAAATAATAAAAAAAACCTGTTCTTTTAAATTGTACAAATATTTCACAATATCACATTTTTTATCAAATAAATGCAGCCTTTGCTAGTAAAAGAAACTTCTTTTAAAAACAATTTTAATATATTCTAGAATATAATATATTAATATATATAATATAATATATTTGAATTATTCAAAACGTTTGACTGTTATATTTCGGATTCTTGCGTTTCTATGGCAGACATTGTGAAGGTGTGTGTTCTGTGGACATTTAACCGGCTGTGCTGGTGAGGTTTCTGGATTCATCCTCTCTCGTCCCCTGAGAACTGTGTACAGCTCCAACATCAATCTCTCTGGCAGGAAGTACCCCTCTCTCGCGTGGCTGAAGAGGAGGGTACGGCCGTTATAAATCACCACTGCTTTTCTCCTAGGGAAGAGTGTGAATATTAATTAATGTGGTGAAACAGTGACCCTTGGGCCACAATTAATTTCAATTGAGTGGTGCCAGCGAGAACTCGTACAAACAGCACTCCAAGGTTATGATGTCCCTGAGGTATAGAAATATTCCAACTTCCAGATTATACACGATTCTCGTGATGAAAAAGAAAGTGCTGATTGAAATGTCGCCTCCTTACAGATTTAGCAGTGTCAGGCGCATGGGAACCACACTGCAATTGCTTACAAATTAATTATTAAAACGCGCATTGAATTCATTCCTCAGATGTCCATGAGCTCTGAATCATGGATAAAGTGGGCTACACAAGGGCACGATATTTGTTCACAACAATTTTGCAGGAATGATCGTTATCTCCTAAATGACCTTTTGTAATAGGGGAGAATAAAAGCTTGAGCCTTCAGGAAGCAGACATGCTGTTTGGAAGAGGCCGTGGCACTTTGCACTGTTAACTAAAAAGAACATTATTTCAAACAGTATAGAGTATCAGTGTGTTTGATTGGTTTTTTCGTAGTTATAAGCTTGTCATTGCTCACATATATTAATTAAATACATGTAGCATTGATATTATGGACCATGTTTTTGATCTTTTATTGCATATCTTTGGTGGCATTGACTCATTCACAGGAAATTGTGCTATGGGTGGTTGAAATTTTCTACTTTTTTTTTTTTCAACTGTAAATAGGCTACATCTGGTTAACGCTGAAGTCTCAATTAATTTTTTTTACCAGGGCTGTTATCACTTTTAGGACCACATAAAAGAAATATCCCCTCTGATATTCAGATTAGTGGCAGGTTTCAATGGTCAATTAATTACTACGTGCAATCTTAAACTGCACTGCAATGTTTTACTGTCACAGAAAGTTAGAATTTTCTATATAGTTATAACAGTAACTATAAATGAGTGGATTTGGGAAGCATCACTGTTGCAGAGTAAATCACACATTACAAACAAATAAACAAATAAATAAATAAATTTAAGACATTATGCATTTCATAACAAAAATACATAGACAGTGAAAACATACTATTGTAATTTTAAATGAAAGTACAAATTAGATCAGTTTCGCGTGGTTTATTCTAAATAACCTTTCTGAGATGCCCTGATATTACAATTTTTACTGAAACCGAAAACCACCTAATGTTACAGCCAGTGTTGGGGGTAACGCATTACAAGTAACGCAAGTTACGTAATCAGATTACTTTTTCAAGTAACTAGTAAAGTAACACATTACTTCAGAATTTACAAGTACGAGTTACTTTTTCAAATAAGCAACGCAAGTTACTTTTTTTTTTTTCAATTTATTGATTGACAGCTCTCCTGTCCCCATGTTGAGAGAAATCAGAACATGCTACTCTATTTTCTGTGCGGTTATTTCACTGTTAATTGATTACATAATTTTGGACAAAATAATATTTCGATATATATTTTTTGACGTTTCCGTGTACAAAATAACTTCTCATCAGAGTTCAGTGTAGACACTCCCACTCCTGTTTATGGTGTAATGAAAAAGGGAAGTCATTCTATTCTACTGAAGCGGTTCAGGCACACATGACCGACAAGAGTCACTGCAAACTATTCACAGATGGAGACGCCGCACTTGAGTTCGCTGACTTCTATGACTTCAGGTACACAGACATTTGGAAAAAATCCTTTGAACTATATATTTATATAGTATTTAAATGTGAGCAATAATCATTGTCCCTCTAAACATACAGGAGCAGTTATCCTGATGCTAAACATGGAGATGATGTGGAGATGAAGGATGGCGAACTGCCTGATGAAAAGGCTGTAGAGTTTGATGATGAGACGCTGGAGCTCACTTTGCCCTCAGGTACTGATGGACAGCTGTATTTACAACATTATGTTATGACATTTAATTGATGTTTAGATGAAATATTAAGCATGCCAGGAAATATTTGCATTTGAAGAAGATTTACACCTAACTGATTCCATCAGGCTTTTACTCTTGAAAGTAAATTTCTCCTGACTTGATCATTTAAATCGAAATTGAAATGCCTTTAAAATCAAACTTTGTTTTTGCTGTGTGTTTCAGGTGCTAAGATTGGCCATCGCTCCCTAATGAGGTACTATAAGCAGAGGTTTGGTGTTCAGAGGACGTTGGTTCCAGCTCATAACCAGAAGGCTGTTGGTCGAGTCCTTAAACAGTACAAAGCACTTGGATGGGCAGGAGACTTTGGTAAGTGAGGTTTGCAAAGTCAGGACTGTCAAGAGGGGCCCAGTAAAGATTTTAGTGATGGTCCAGGCAAGGATTTATCCAGCATTTGGTTTTGTAGATGTGGCAGATCATGTGGCTCTTCCTTTCCTGATCTTTGACTGGTGTGTTATTTCGGATGGTTAACTTTATTTCTACACCACTTCCTGTTTAAACCGTGTCTTCTCTTGCAGGTAAAGGCTTTGTGAGCCAGCAGCAGAAGGACATGCAGTATGTGCGGAGGATGAAGTCCAAGTGGATGCTGAAGATGGGCATGAACAGTAACGCCACCAAACAGACCCATTTCAGAGCTCAAGTCATGTTCTAAACCAATCAACCTTCAGCACTAGTAGACATTCAACTTTTCAGAGTTCATAGCAGTATTCTGTGTTGATTCAGCTGAGATGTGAACTGCTGCTAAGGTGAAACATCATACATGAATGTTTAAGGCAACATCCATAGTGTATAAGGAAACATTGTGCTTTAGATATCCAAATCATGGAGATCCAAATGATGTGCTTTTCCAGCATCAACATGAGATTGCTGTTCATAATGACCTTTATTACCATTTCCAAGTTTAATGCTCCTTGTAAAAACATTATGTAGAACAACTTCAGATTTATAATACTGTATAAATGATCAATAAAATAAGCAATGCCTGACTTGATGTTTGGTATTTCTTTCAGAAAATAAAGATAAAATATTGTCAGTTAAAGCTTACACAATGTTATTGTTGTATACTATGTGTGGTAGAAATTATAAAAAAAAGGTACAATAATAATACAGGAACCAAACGCTTATCCTCTGAATAAATGTGCGCCATTGTACTTCTGGCCGATAGACCGCGCTGTTTCACCTTGTAATCCTGTTGCAGAAACTCAAAGGTCACGAGGAAGTTAATCATAACATTTGAATAGACCTGTGTTGAAGGAAAAAGATTAAAGCAGCACTATGTAACTTTTTCTGTTCAAAATTTGCCTTCATCTTCCAAACCGCGTTTTTGTCTTATTCCGAATCACTCCGGTACACTTATAATAAGTACTTATATTTGGACTATTGTAGCCTGGTCGGGTCGTCACCGCCGCGGAGTAACACATACCTGCGTGAATCGCCATAGACTTAGACTCAGAGAAGTAGCTCCTGTTGGAATGTTCTTCCGCGGGATGTGTGCAGTTCTGTTTATTAACCGCTAGAGCGCCAAAAGTTACATAGTGCTGCTTTAAGTGCCTTTGTGATATAATGTGAAATCGGCTGAAACTCCCGTCACTTCTGACACAGTAGGTTTCCTACCCAATATGTTTTGTCTCCAGATTTTGAATGATAATGAACTAAAGGGTCAAAGCACCAGCATGTATTTAAGTCAGGTGTATTAAACCCGTTAACCCTTTAATGTAACACGCAGACAGAAACCATGGGAAATTGCGTTTTGTAATTTTGTGGGTCAATATTTTGTCGTTATGAGTCTCTACCAAACTGTTTGCTGCCCATCAATAATGTTGTTATAATTCTGCAGTGACGTAAAAAAATAAATAAGACTGTTATATAGTAATATGTCTGAATATAATATATAATATTGTTATATTCTGATATAAACATTATATATAATAGGTTTGTGTTCTGATACATTTCATCTTCCAAACCGCGTTTTTTGTCTTATTCCTAATCACTACGGTACACTTATAATAAGTACTTATATTTGGACTATTGTAGCCTGGTCGGGTCGTCACCGCCGCGGAGTAACACATACCTGCGTGAATCGCCATAGACTTAGACTCAGAGAAGTAGCTCCTGTTGGAATGTTCTTCCGCGGGATGTGTGCAGTTCTGTTTATTAACCGCTAGAGCGCCAAAAGTTACATAGTGCTGCTTTAAGTGCCTTTGTGATATAATGTGAAATCGGCTGAAACTCCCGTCACTTCTGACACAGTAGGTTTCCTACCCAATATGTTTTGTCTCCAGATTTTGAATGATAATGAACTAAAGGGTCAAAGCACCAGCATGTATTTAAGTCAGGTGTATTAAACCCGTTAACCCTTTAATGTAACACGCAGACAGAAACCATGGGAAATTGCGTTTTGTAATTTTGTGGGTCAATATTTTGTCGTTATGAGTCTCTACCAAACTGTTTGCTGCCCATCAATAATGTTGTTATAATTCTGCAGTGACGTAAAAAAATAAATAAGACTGTTATATAGTAATATGTCTGAATATAATATATAATATTGTTATATTCTGATATAAACATTATATATAATAGGTTTGTGTTCTGATACATTATTATTATTACTATATTCTGCAACATGTAAATGGATTGCCATCACCAGATTAAAATATGATTATTGTATACTGTGATCAATGTAATAGATTTGCTGGTTCATTATTTCAACCATTTATTCCTTAACATCCATATGCTGTAAGACTGAAGTTATTGTGCAACTGTCTGTCTATTGAATGATAGATTTAAACTAAAACTTAAGTACAATTATTGCCGTTAGAAATGTAAGTAATCTGTGTCATGTTCTCTCCACAACAGATATGGTGATCTTCTTTGAGAAGTTTGCAAGACTTTCTCTGAAGTCCACTTTTATTTGGTCACTGTGCCCACAGTACAGCACTGCTCTCACTGCAGTAGGCAGAGCTCTGATAGTGCGCTCCAGCCAGCTGATTCAGCATCGCTATGTGCACAGCAGAGGGTTGGGAGCCAGTCCAGCCAACCCGGGTGCTGCCCCACCACGGTTACCCTTCTCCAGGGTCACGCAGGAAGACCTTGCTTTCTTTAGAACACTGCTGCCTGGAAGAACCATCACTGATCCAGACCTGCTGAAGTCCAGCAATGTAGACTGGCTTAAGACAGTGGAAGGTGAACTCAATTTGCATTTCCTAAAGAATAGTTTCAGAGTTTTATGTATGTTCTATCTAGAAATGAGTGCTTGTCTCAGTTCAGAAGTTTTCAGGAAGATTTTAAAACTGTACGTTTGTTAAATATGATTACAATTTAAAACAACTGTTTTTATTTTAATATATATTAAAATGTAATTTATTTCTGTGATCCAAAGTTGAATTTTCAGCATCGTTACTCCAGTTTCACGTGATCCTTCAGAAATAACTTTAATATGCCGATTTGGTGCTCAAGAAAAAAAATCCTTGTTATTGTCAATGTTGAAAACAGTTGTGCTGCTTCATATTTTTGTGGACATTTTTTTTCAGGATCCTTTGATGAATAGGAAGTTCAAAAGAACAACATTTGTTTAAAATAAAAATCATTTGTAACATTCGAAATGTCTTCACTTTCACTTTTGATCAATTGAATGCGTCCTTGCTGAATAAAAGCATTATTTCTTTCAAACAACAACAACAAAAATCATTTAAATGGTAATGTGTTTATATGTGACATATAATATGATATAAAAACATAAAAGATGAAATCAAGCTAAACATTCAGTAGATTCTAAATACAATCTACAGATAGTATTTAGTACTGTTTAGACACATTAAGCATAGTGTTTGAGAATCATAGTAATTAAGATGAAAAGTGGCAATATTTTAATTAATGGGTGTGTTTTTCTTGAAGGTAATAGTGAAGTACTCCTGAGACCCAAAACAACTGAAGAGGTCTCTCAGATTCTTAGGTCAGTTTTACATGATCACACTGAATTGTACAGCTTTATTTTGTTACAAGAATTGTTTTATCAAATCATCCAATGTTTTTCACAGGTACTGTAAATGAGCGGAATCTGGAGGTGTGTCCACAGGGAGGAAACACAGGTCTGGTTGGTTTCCACTTCTTTAATGAACCAAGTCATCACATTCGACAACATCTCAGGTGTTCATATACTGTATATGTGTTTGCTAGATCACCTTGTTATCTATTATAACTTTTCATGAAGCACCTATCATTAGTGACAAATTTAAATATAATTAACCAAGTCAAAATCGTTATACCTTAAGACATTTCTTAGAAAGAGAATTGTTTGGCTTCCAGGTATCCTCACTTGTCAGGCAGGCTGTGTGTTGGAGAACCTGTCTAACTATCTAGAGGAAAGAGACTACTTCATACCGCTGGATCTAGGGGTGAAGGGAAGCAGCCATATTGGAGGGAATGTGTCCACTAATGCAGGTGGTCTCAGACTGCTGCGCTACGGGTCGCTTCGAGGGACAGTTCTGGGCCTAGAAGTGGTGAGGTCCTCCAGTTTAACAGAAATGAACACCAACATGAGATGCTTTCCAACTGTGAATGTGTGATTGATCAGTGGATCTCAACCGTTTGCCACTCCAAGCCCCAAATTACATTTGAAGGCCCCATGACTGGTCTAGTTGTTTGTTATTTACTTGATGAGGATTTTATTAACTTTTACTCTCAGTTTCTACCTGATAAAATATTTTAGAGGTTGACAGAAGAAACATGGGAAAAAAATGTCCATGGAATTATAATGTTTTATTAATTTATATGACGTTTCCAGATCTAGAAATCACAATTTTCAAAATCAGGCTGCCTTATAAATCCATGTTTTTCAAGACAGTGGCAAACATAACATTTCTCTTTAAAGAAAATAAACAGTTGTTGAAAGAGTGAATTAAAATAAGAAATATCTTGATTTTAGTTGTTTCAGCATATTTTATTGATTTTGTTTTCTTGTAAATAATATTTAAGTCATCTTGAGGCACCTTTGAACATCTGCTGAGGCCCCCTAGTGGGCCCCGGCCACTCTGATATAAATGATGTTCCATCGAAAAACACATAAGTGTCATAAGCATATATTTTTTGCTCATATGATTATTTCAGATACTGTTTGATGAGAATAAACTCATGCTTTTGTGGTAGGCTTGAATCAATAAGAGGTAGAAATCATGCTCTTTTTCTATGATGAGAAAGATCTAAATGGCTTTAAGTTGTATTCTTGTATGTCTTGCATTTGTAGGTTTTGGCAGATGGGCGGATTTTGAACTGCCTGGCCACACTTCGCAAGGACAACACTGGATATGACCTCAAGCAGCTTTTCATTGGCTCAGAAGGGACATTAGGAGTTATTACTGCAGTTTCCATCCTGTGCCCCCGCAAGCCTAAAGCTGTCAATGTAGTGTTTTAGGTGAAATGACACGTCAAAAAGCACATTTTAAACTTGCAAGAAACACAGATTTGGTATAATAATGAGAAAATTAAATTGAAGGTGATAATTGTGTTAAATACATTCTATTATTAATCCCTCATGACATTTAAAATTAAAAATATTTATATTTTTAAACCTAATAGCAGTCACCCTTGCTGGACCCGTTTTGTCCCATGTCCGTAATGCGTTAAGGGCCATTAATGGGCCTTTACTCTCAGGTCTCCTTTTCATGCAAAATGTGTGGCTGCATCAACTTATTGCTGTTCCCTCTGTGTCATGCAGGGTGCTCCAGCTTCCAGCAACTGCTGGAAACATTTCAGTGTTGTAGAGGGATGTTGGGAGAGGTCCTGTCTGCTTTTGAGTTTTTAGATGCCTCCTGCATGAGCCTTCTGGAGAAGCATCTGAAACTCACCAATCCCATCACAGGTAAACACTAGTGTCATTACTGTTACAAAGACAACTTTGGGTATCTGTGTTCTTAAAGTCGAGATGTAAAGGAAGTAGTAACTAATTCTTTTGTGACATACATCCGTTAGGTGGATAATAAAAAAAAAGTAGGGTGGGGACTTTGAATGCGAGCTTACAGGTCGATTGTAAGAAAGGGGCGGTGTTAAAGCAGACTATGATTAGAGAAGTCCAGCATATATCACCAGAGAGAAGGCTGACCAGAAGACTGAGTTATGATATTGTAATTAAAAATTATAAAAAAAACATGCATGGCTGAATAGTTCACAATAAGATCAATAAAATGCATTTAGAAAATAGACATATGCCAACTTTAGGTTGGTAGATCTTTTAAAAATGTTGGATAACCCTAATTTCAGTTTTTATTGGTCTTACTGGAATGTGTTGCAGAAAGTCCCTTTTACATTGTCATCGAGACCGCTGGATCCAACGCCACCCATGATGAAGAAAAACTACACAACTTCCTTGAGGAGGTCATGACATCATCTCTAGTGACTGATGGGACCGTTGCGACAGAGGCGACAAAAATCAAGGCACTCTGCTCACTTGTTGATTAGCAGAATTCAACATGTTTTTGAATTTGACATTTGTTCTGTCTAGAGCTGAAGATTTTGTGTCATACACAGGCATTGTGGTCTTTGAGGGAGAGAGTCGCAGAAGCTCTTACACAGTTTTATAAATTTGTAGACATTTTGAGTGACATTTACATAAAATTAAAAGGAAGTAGTTAATAGTCTCTTAAACCAAGCCTGCTTAACCAACCTCTCCTTCAAACAAACAAAACAGGCCCTACAACTAAGTTAAATTACCCATATTATACAGACACAATGTTATTTCTTTATTTAGGGATATGACAAACAAGCATGGACAATTGATGAAAATATACATAATTATCAAACGCTTACCATAGTGATTTAGTCTAAGGCAAAAACATGGTTAAGATGATGTGTGTTATGATGTTCTTGTTATTCAAATTTTGTTGATTTAAAAGAAACCACAAAGAATTGCAGCGTCTTTGAGCATTCATAAAAACAGTAGCTTAACCAATGGTTTTTGGGAAAGAACTACCTGTTGAAAGGCGTACAGTTAGGAATTAACATTATTTTTGCAATTTTGTTTGATGGTGCATTGAAGCTATTGAGCCACATCAAATGAAGACCATCTAAAAATTTAGCTTGCGGCAAGAATGAAATCAGCACTGAATTCTTCAAATAAAAGCCCAGCATGAGATTTTTTTTTAGCATGTGAATACACCAGATTTTGTCTAATGTTCCTCACTAACAAAAAGTTGTTCAATCCATTGAGACAAAATATTTTGGTTAACAATGGCTGTTA